TTTGAAAATTTAAGCATTATAAATTGCTTATAAATCATATGAAAATCGTATAATATGAACCATTCCAAGATTATACAAAGTTGTTAATTTTAATTATTTTTGTGTTATTACAAAAACTTAATAACAAATACAAGTCTATTTTTTAAAATACACCTATAGTTTTATATCTATCTATATATAATATATATTATTTTAAAAACTAGCTAATTAATTAGTAAAAGGTATTTTAAATAAAAATGGTTTATGCCTCTAAAAACTTATTTCCAACTCTAACTTTAATACTAATCTAATATAAAGAAGTTTAAAATTATAAATTAGAGTGATTCTGATTTTGAATTAAATTAGTGGTATTTGTTTTGAAATAAGTGACGATAATATATCATTAGGAATTTCAAAACAGTAATGTTTTTTTAAACTCTCAAATATTTATAAATAGGTTAATTTTGAATCACTCTAGTATATATGTCGTACGTTGGAACTAGGGTTTAGGGCACAGGGGCATGAGGCATGCCTATGGGCATGCCTAAAGTCCAAAGGGCATGCCCTTTTTATGTGATATTTAAAGTTATTTTGATTGGCTAATTGGTTTAGATCAGGGCTTAAACGACTATATTGAAATGCCGGCCATTCAAAAGTGACATTCTTGATCTATAATATATTAAAATTTAATTGGCGAATATAGTAAACAATCAGATGTACAATGTATTTACTGCATCATAAATTATAACATATATACGTAATATAAAATAACTACATCGATATATAATTTGATATACAGCAATCAATATATTTTATCTTAAAAACGTTATTTAATGATATATACTTTTCTATGTAATGGTTAACATATATTATCAAAAAATAATTAATCATAAAGAAATTTCTAATCTATGAATTATATTTTATTTTTCTATTTTTCATTTTATACCAAATATCTAATGCATTATTAAAATTAAATTCTGTCTCATCTGTTCCTTCTAATCTAACCATCATTAACATATTTAGAGTAAAGCAGTTCGTAGTTTAGTCTTAATTAAATTTTGCTTAGAAAAACCACATTTACATTCTACACTAGAAAAAGAAATACTATATATAATCACTAATAGCTTGATAATATTTGGATAAAAGTTAGAATAATATTTAAACAATAAAATAAGTAACTTGTCTGTTGGGAAATTTTGATAATCCTTATATATAAGTTTTTTAAAATGAAGCCATTCTATATGTGTACTATTAGAATCAACTATTACATGCAGAAATAAAGAAAATTGTGGCTTTTTATAAACGTCCAGCAACAAATCCAACTCCTTATTACCAAATTTTAACAGATTTTCATTATTTAACAATCCATCAGATAATTTAAAGATTTTTAAAGCTTCAATAAAAGGATCATTTGAAAATTGGGTTCGAATTTCTAAAATAATTATAGATACAAAACTTGTTATATCAGTTAGTAAATCATTTTTTTGATTTGGTGTCTGAGTAAGATAATGCGATCCAATTTTTGTATTTTTTTTAGATGGTATGATAATAAAAAATTTGATAATACTTAAACCTAATTTAGGAATATTATCGATATTAATATCTAAATATTCTTGTTCTAATTTTGTAATTGTAGTTCGAATTATAGAATATAAATCAAAAATATGAAAAAATCTTGTTTGAAATATTTTGTTTAAATTTGTAAGGTCAAAAAAGATATCATAAAGGAAATAAAAAAATGCTAATATTTTCTAATCACAAAGCTTTGAATATAAATTAAAAATCGAAAGTTGAGTATTTCAATTTTTTGATTCTATCATAGTATGAAGAAATGTGTCTAGTAAAGGTTCAATAGATAAACAAAAATTATTTATAGCTTCATAAAAAGAAAGCCAACAAATATCAAAAATTTTTTTAATCTTTAAAATTGGCATATTAAGAACTTCTTGATATTTTGATAAAGTTTGAACCTGTTTATCAGAATTATTAAAAAAAGTATAAACTTTTCTTAATAGTGATTTAGTATATACACAGGATTCTACCTGTTTTTCAGCAGCTTCACAGGCCAATGCTAATTTATAAGCAATGCAATGTGTAGTAAATATATATGGATTTATTTGTATCATTCGTGTAGCAACACCATTGAGATTTCCTCGTATTACACTTGCACCATCTGATGTAAATACAAAGATTTTATGTTGTATATCTATTTAATTTTTTTTTTTTTTTTTTTTTTTTTTGGCGATCCTGCCTTTATTAACTAAGAATAGCATACAAGTATGCCGTAATTTCATCTCATACTATCAGTACAATACAAAATTTTCTATTTTTAATAGAGACTCACTCGACTTTAGCAAAGCCCAGGTGCGATCTGCCGCAACAGCTTTTTACCTCCCTTCATGTCTCTTAACTTCTCGAGAAAGAAAACTGAAGATCTTTGGTTGGTAGCTGCCAGCCTTATCAGGATCGATTTTATTTAAAATTTCTTGGAGGGGGTCTGGGTTTGAACAGGGACGACCAGACCGGTTTTATATAGTTGGTTACGAATTCTTCGATAACTTCTTCCGCCCACTCCAGGATTTTCCTCTTCTTTTTTGTCTTTTCTTCTTTCTCCTTGTCCCTTGCGCTATTATTTGAGGCTTCCTCCATGTTGGCGTCTTTTTTCCTTTTTTTCCTGCTTCTTTCAATCATTTCCTCTTCTCGTGTGTCATTCTCTTTTCTTTTACCTTTTTTCTGCTGGGCGGTGATCTGGTTTCGGGATTCCCACTCATTAATTACCTCACATCGAAAGCACCAGATACGTTCGAAAAAGGCTTTCCAGAAGAATTTTACTAGTAACAGCTTGATTGTATTTTCCGTCTTCATCTTGTCACTTAATTCGATTGTAATTCGGTTACTTATTTCTTGACTTATTATGCCTCTAATTAAGCATTTCCGGGCCAAATGCTTATCATTTTTCTGGATTCCAAACAAGGCATTTTGCCAGATTTGTTTGTCTTGTGACTTAATGTTCTTCTTCTCTTTAATCTTACTTAGAATCGTCTCAGCTACTTCTGTCTCTGCCTTTAGCCATATATTCTCATATATCTCACAAGTGGCTATATGATCTTGTGTCTCTGTTTCCTTAAAACATGCTATACATCTGTCATCTTTGTACA